TGTGGGGCCACGTGGCACGGCGTGCTGTGGGACCACGGCAACCGAAACACTCAGTGCTGGCAGGAAAAGGAGAGGAACGAAAGCCCCTCGCTTGGGGACTGCCAGGCAGCTGCCTTTGCATCACCCATCACTATTTACACCTCAAAATGGTGCTCAATGTCCTGTTATTTTAACAAGCAGTGCTACCATTCTGAAAGACTGCCCTGACTGCAGCTAGCCGGGAGCCGGGCTGGGGGCATGGAGGAAGTGGAGATTTCCAATATATTTGGTTTTCATTAATAGATGTGAGCACAGAATCACTTGAAGAATCTAAATGTTTTTTTAAATAAAGATTTATTTATTTCATTGGAAAGGTACAGAGAGGAGGAGAGACAGAGAGGAAGAGTTTCCGTCCGATGATTCACTCCCCAGGGAGCCTCAACAGCCGGTGCTGCACCGATCCAAAGCCAGGATCCAGGAACTTCTTTCTGGGTCTCCCACATGGGTGCAGGGTCCCAAGGGTTTGGGCCATCCTTGACTGCTTTCCCAGGCCACAAGCAGGGAGCTGGATGGGAAGTAAAGCTGCCGGGATTAGAACCGGCGCCCATATGGGATCCCGGCACGTTCAAGGCAAGGACCTTAACCATTATGTTATCGTGCCGGGCCCGAAGAATCTAAATCTTTAGCCCATACACATTTAGCTGACGTCTCTCATCAACACACAGACGCAGCTTGTCCAAACAGCCGTGTTCAGCAGCAGGCGATCCTGGCACTGAAGGAGTCCTGCACTTCACTAAACCCCTTCTAGAACACAAGTCACTCAAACTCGTGCTGTGACTGAGTGGCCCGTTGGTGTGCCTGCTGCCCAGTGACCCAGCAATGCTGGGAACTCTGCGCTCTGCCAGAAGGCAGAGTTCTCAGAGCAACCACATTCTAACACACACAACAACGCAGTTCTAGTTCATGCTGTCTCATAATTATTCTTGTGCCATACAGCCTCACTCTATGCTGGTGCTATTCAGCTTCACTCAAATATTGATTTTAGCCAAAATATTTATTTAACACGCCTACTTTTTATCCTTGTCTAAGGATCACTTCTATTTATGCTACTAACAGACTCGACAGCATTTCCAAGTCATACTTCCTATTCTTATATCTTTAATTTAAACACTACATGCAGTGGTGTCTAAAGATTTGAATTTTTTTTTAAGAAAATGGAAGATGCCAACCCAATCTCTCTCTTACCCACAGCAGCAGCGTGTCCCACTTATGCCTACAGTGAGCTCAGAGATCAGCTGTTTTCAAAGCACATGCTGTTGCCATGGAGACTATTACCACAGACAGGGCTGTGCAATTTCACAACTCTGGAGAAAAGCTTCCCCACGCCCGGGCCACAGACCACACCCACCGCCCAGCCTGCCTCCTCAGGTGCCCAGACACACGGCCCTGGAGCGGCTCCTGCCTCCTCAGGTGCCCAGACACACGGCCCTGGAGCGGCTCCTGCCTCCTCAGGTGCCCAGACACACGGCCCTGGAGCGGCTCCTGCCTCCTCAGGTGCCCAGACACACGGCCCTGGAGCGGCTCCTGCCTCCTCAGGTGCCCAGACACACGGCCCTGGAGCGGCTCCTGCCTCCTCAGGTGCCCAGACACACGGCCCTGGAGCGGCTCCTGCCTCCTCAGGTGCCCAGACACACGGCCCTGGAGCGGCTCCTGCCTCCTCAGGTGCCCAGACACACGGCCCTGGAGCGGCTCCTGCCTCCTCAGGTGCCCAGACACATGGCCCTGGATGCACAACGCCTAGCCCAACGAGCACAGCAAGCCCACACTCGGGCACTGCTTTTCCACAACCAGCACTTCCTCAGCAAGCTCACTGCACATTGTCCAACAGACTAGCAGGTCACTGTACTGGCACTGCCAGCGAAGGGCTTCCATGTTGCAAAACCACAGAATCCTCAGACTCCCTGAGTTGAACATCTGCCCAAGGGTGGGGAGGGGAAGGCGCCTAAACTAACCCTCTGTATCACATAATCGAATCAGCCTGGCTACAAGCCTGCCGGTGCTGCCATGGCTCCTCGCCCAAGCCCTCTGCTGCAGGCCGGAGACACCTGGAGGACGGCCCAGCCTCGGGGGGCTGCTCAGCCTCTTGGGGGTATCCCCTGACAGGGCAGCTGAGGCTCCCACACAGAGCCGTCAGAAGAAGCTGGGTAGTGCCACGCAAACACAAAGCAGCTGCTCACACTCAGGAATGGCAGCCTCCTGCCGTCACCGCGCCTTCCCACACCACACAGCCACCAAGGTGAGCGGGACAAGGCGCGCGGGTGAGGGACAGGCAGCTACTACTTGGGAGAAGCTTATGTCTGCCCCGCGTTCTCACAAGCCAAAGAAAAGGCTCCGAGCTTATTAACACCTGTGCGCTGAAGCCTTTGCGAGGACTTGGAAATGCAACCACGTGCTTCCAGAACATCTTGCTCAAAGGCACTTGGTTCTACTGTGAGCGTGCACATTTGAAGAGCTGCTCACTGAGGCAACTTGGAAGCCAGGTTTTCAGCAAGTTCTAAGAGAGGAACCGAAACGTGTGCCAGGAGCAGCGCTGTGGCTTTCCGCCCTGCCTTGGCAGCCTGCACCTCTCCCACGAGGCAGAAAACATACATCTCAGAAAGGCTGCCCCAACACCCGCAACGCAGCCAACCATGGTTTCCAGTGTAGTGTAGGCAGCTGACAAAGACTCACTGAACAGATGCTAAAAGCAGATAAACTTCATGACAGCAAATTCCTTAACAACAGCTGTCAGTGAAACAAAAACATCCTGGCATTTCTGTGTCAGCTCTTCAGAGAAACTGAGGAGGGGGCTAGCAGCGAATGCCCCCGTCTGGTCTCAAGTCCTGGCTACCTCTGGCTGCCAGCACGCCCCAGAGCCCACCCGGGACACCAGATCCTGCGCGGTGGCTGGATTCTGGTCACATTTCCCTCAGGCCCCGAGTGCAGGTAGAGCTAGCTCGGGCATCGGTTCAGGTCAGACCTGAGCCACGGGTTCATCTGCACCTCAAAGCTTCCCTGGCTCCTGCCACACGCAAACAAGCACAGACCTTTGCCAGCTCACCTGAGGCCCCGATTCCACAGCTCCTCCGACGCCCTGGGCTCCCCACCAGCCACCTCACAGTCCTCTTTGCTAGGCGACACTCTGTTGCAAGCCGTGTGACGTCTGACATCACCAACGGCACTGCTATGGGAGAGAACTGACTCGCACAGTCTCTGGCTGGTCCCAACAGCTCTACCATGGAGGTACCGCAGAGCTCAGGTGTGGACCCGGGCTGGGAAGGCCCCTGCTCCAGGACACACAGGCCACCAAGCAAGAACATGGCTCTCAGGCTCTCACCACACAGCCTCTCTTCAAGTAAACAGGAATTACAGTATGGAGTAAAATGTGACTTTAACATGTGTATTCATTATAGAAAGGCAATTACCCTAATTAACTATGTAAAGATTGTCAAAATATTTTTTAAAAATTTATGAAAAAAAAAGAAAGTCAATTAGATAATCAACCAACCTGTTCCCTCACTCCAAACCTGTCACAACCGAGTGTCTGCAGTCTACCCTTTTGCAACGTTCAATATAAAATCCAGCACTACCCTGGCACACATGACAACATGGCTGAAGGCTGAGAAGGCAGCCCTAAGCAGGACAAGGGGCCGAGGGGCACAGAGAGCAGAGGCGGCGGGGGCTGCCATGAAGAGGCTGCACTGGGAGTCGGTCCTGCAGGGGTGGGTCAAGTTTCCTGACAGGACAATGACAAGGCTCTGGAAATGGACCATGGAATGGGCACAGAGTGTGGCGAATGCACACCTAGACAGGTCACTGAGTCACACAACCCGTTCTGGCTGGAATTCCCACCCAGCCTAGAGTACCACCTGAGGACCCAGGGCCTTGGTGGACTCAGCCTGGACTGGGCCTCCAGCCAGGACAGTGCAGAAGGTCCCAGCAGGGCCGGCTCTGCCGCCAGAGCGCAGGCACCAGCAAAGTGCGATCGGATGGCTTCTCAGCTGGGTTCCCCTTGTCCAGCTCTCTCCACCAGCAGGCAAATGACATGTGACAGAGAGGTGCTTGGAAGCATGCAGAGATCCCAAGAGCACACACACTCGTTTCCCTCAAGCTGCGCCCGAGTCACCTTCACAATGCTCTCACCCAGGCTCCGAGAGGCATCATGGCAGGCGCTGCAGGAGAGAACTGCCTGCCCAGTGGCACGGCACCCCAAGAGCTCTCCCTGCTCCGTCCCTATCACCTCACACACAGCCAGAAATGGAAAAGCTAAACACGACCAAATCAAGCCTGGCAGGAGCACGTTCCTAAGAGGTTGGAGACATGAACTCAACTCACAATGGTCCTTCCACTGGTAAATCACACAGGTCCAGTGGGGCTTGTTCTTGCTCAGGTCATTTGCTGGGAAGATGATAACCACAAAACCAGTAAACATTGCAGCCAAGTGAGAAGCTATTCCTGAAATGACGGCCTTCATAAACACTGCAGTCAAAACTGGTGGCTGTTTTACTCCCTTCACTTCACTTACTGAGGCCTGGAAGTCTTCTTCCCCATGATCCGTCCGGGAGTCAGCAGAGGCCCACGGGGCCCCTACCAGACAGGACCCCTACTGGCCAGCTCCCTTTACTGTATCCATGCCAGGAGACCTCCACCCTCCTCCAGTCACAGAAACACACTCAAACCAAAACTCAGTCACCTGCAGATTTCCCATGGAGAAGGAAAATGTGGACACACGGGTCTCTCATTCATTCATTCACATCCAGGAGACCGAGAGAGCACGTATGGTACAGGAAGTTCCCTCTGGTGTTCAACCAGCAATGTTACAGACAAGACTCAGGCTCCATGCTCAGAGAAACACGAGAGGAACAGATCAGGAAGCTGGGAGAGGCGGCAGGTGGAGGACCTGCGGTGTCCCTTGGGCAACACCCCTTTGACAGCAGCAGGCCGAGCCGCAGCGGGCCTGGACCTAGGGAGGGGACACTCACTGGGTGAGCAGCTGGTGCAGCTTGTGGTGGCCTCGCTCCAGAGCCAGGCTCACAGGCGTCGCCCCTTCCTGGTTGTGGATGCTGAGAGCTCCGCGGCCACCCGGCTTCTGTAACAGGAACCACGTCAACCTCAGCAGTCCCCGGCGCACAGCAAAATGCATCAAGGTCTCGCGGGGGCCGGCATCTGCAGTGGGGAGGATGCAACAAGGTTCATTGGCTAAGAAGAGCAGCAAAGGCCAGACTCACCCAGACTCAGGCTCACCCAGACTCTCTGGAGACAGCACGGAGGCAGCCCCCTACCAGGAAAGCACCCTGCTTCAGACAGGGTCACCAGGAAGTCTCTGGGAGACCCCTCACACACTTCTCCCCACAACAAGGGGATCCAGAGGAGCAGCTGCCAGCACCTTGATGGGCGTGCACTCAGGAGCAAGAGGAGCCGGAGGCTGGCTGGGCACACCACACACAGGCAACAGCACAGTGCTGTGACGGCCAGCTTCTTCGTGTGCTCAATGACAGCAAGAAGGGGCAGTTTTAAGCCTTTTTACTGTAACACAAATTTAAAATGTGTTGCCTCAAAAGCTAAAAAAGGAGGAAGGGAGAAAGGGAGAGAATGAAAAAGGGAGAGAGAGAGTATGTGTGTGTGTGAGAGAGAGAGGGGGAGAGTGAGAGACAGAGAGGGAGAGAGAATGAGAGAGGGAGAGTGACAGACGGAAAGAGTGAGACAGAGTGAGAGTGAGAGAGAGAGTGAGTGAGTGAGAGAGGGAGAGAGGGAGGGACAAAGGAAACAAGCAGACAGGAGGAAGGCAGAGGAAAGGAAGAGACTATCATTATGTTCCTAGAATTTTATTTATAAATCATATTCAATTCATTAAAAATAATTAAAACTGAAAAAAAGCGGGGGGACAGCTTAAGGTGTGCACAGCCCATATCCGACTGCCTGGGTGTACGTCCTGGCCTGCTCCAACGTCCTGCAGACACACACCCTGCAAGCAGCTGGATCCCTGCCACTGACACAGGAGCCTGGCTTTGTCCTGGCCAGTCCCGACTGTGGCAGGCATTTGGGGAATGACCAACATGGCAGATCTCCCTCTATCTCTGCCTTCCAAAGGAATTTTTTTTAATGTTTTTCAAATCCCAATTGAGGACATTTTACAACATGCTAGGCCAGGATCCCACAGCTATTAAGGCATCAGACCGAGTCTGATGAAGTGTCAGAGCCAGCAGGAGCCCCAGGAGTCCTGACAGCTACCTGCCCAACAGTGTCCCGCACAGAATCCTGGGAGGGCATCAGTAGGCAAAACTAAAGAAACCTGACCGCCTAACACAAGCCACTTGAAACTAAAGCCTCAGTGTTGCTCAGCTACAGGAGAAACTGGACGTAGGGTAGAGACCAGCCTTCCATCCCATCTGCATCTTTTTCTGGCAACGTCCTGTAAATATATCCCAAAGTTTAAACAAACAAAAAAAGTCACTGCAGGAAGAAAGAGAAAAACTAAGGCAATGCACTGATTTGACAAAGGAAAACATGACTTGGGCATCCTTCATGTGGAACGCAGAAAGGGCTGTGGAACCAGGATTGGCACCGTGTGGCAGGAGGAGTGTCCTGACCCCTCTCGGCATCACCTTCTCCATCCCCGCGGGCACCAAGCCACCCCTCCCTCACAGCACTGCCACCCAAGGCGAAGAGGCCGCTGGAAGGCTAGCATAGCGACCGGCGAGAGGGGCTCCCACTAACGGGCCCCCTCCCTCTCCCTGCTCTGTCCTCTTGGTCTTCACTATCAACACTTCTCTGTCTCGATCTCTTGGCTGATCCATGCCCACCAGGCCAAGCTGTGCCCTGAGCCTCCCAGGCACTCATGCCCACCCTGAGACCCACCTGGCCTCCTCTCAGCCTGCATCGTCGCTCATCCTGGCGGGCTTCCCTCAGGGGCAGCTTCGTGGCCTGGGTCTTCTTACTCTGCCACCTTCAGTGCCTCCGTGAGCCGCCCTCACTATGAACCTGGGCTTACCATGAACCTGGGCTTACCATGAACCTGGGCTCACCATGAACCTGGGCTCACCATGAACCTGGGCTACCATGAACCTGGGAGTCTACACTGCCTTGTCCTGTCACTTGTGTGCCACTCCATTCTTGCTACCAAAGTAAATTCCTTGGTAGGAAAATGTTTCCTATTTTTCATTTTCCCTATATAATTATAAATCACACACTCCCACTTCAGAATGTTCACACAGAGGCACATGGCTGGAAGACAATCACAACTATAGGTATAACTGTAACCATGAGCACCTCTGAAAACCAAGCAGTACCATCTGCTGGTGCCCACAGCTGCTCCCAAGCACAGGCCCACCCCACCAAATCCCAGAGGGCCAAGAATGCATTGACTGACTGAGAACTGGGCCTCTGCAGACGAGGGCGGACCCACCCTGGAGCCTGCCCTCCTCAGGCTCCTGCCTCTTCTGGTCTTCCATCTTGATGACTTGGCTGCAGCCTGGCTCCTGCACTCTAGGACTAACACACAGACTAACACACAGACAAACACACAGACTAACACAAAACATTCTCCTGCGTAAGGATCCTCTTCTAGCACAAGACTCAAGCTATGTGAGCCACATGCTTCCCTTCGGACTGCCCTGGGGTGTGGACCCACCGCATGCAGCTAGTCCACTGCACACAGCTAGTCCACTGCATGGAGGTGTGGGACCCACTGCATGTATGTAGCCCACTGCACAGCGGTGTGGAACCTACTGCACACAGCCAACCCACTGCACTGGGGTGTGGACCCACTGCACACAGCTAGCCCACTGCATGGGGGTGTGGGACTCACTGCACACCGCCAACCCACTGCACAGGAGTGCGGAACCTACTGCACGCAGCCAGCCCACTGCATGGAGGTGTGGGACCCACTGCACACAGTTAGCCCACTGTGCACAGCCCACTGCATGGGGGTGTGGGACCTACTACAACACACAGCTAGCCCACTACACTGGGGTGTGGACCCACTGCACACAGCCAGCCCACTGCACACAGTTACCCCACTGCATGGGGGTGTAGGACCCACTACACGCAGCCAGCCCACTGCACATAGTCCACTGCATGGGAGTGTAGGACCCACTGCACACAGCCAGCTCACTGCACACAGCCCACTGCATGGGGGTGTGGGACCTACTGCACACAGCTAGCCCACTACACTGGGGTGTGGACCCACTGCACACAGCCAGCCCACTGCACGCCTCCTGTGCTTTTGCCACATCTGTGCTGACCTTCACAGATGCCAGAGACTGCATCTGAGAAGCCCGGCTGCAGAAGGACAACATGGACATATAAACAGACTCTCCCAGTCCATGCTGCTTCAAGCATATGAACATTTTCACCTACCCATACTCTGACTACTTCTGATCCTTGTCTCGTGGTCCACGCCAAAAGCTCCAGGACTTAGGATCAGTCTCCGCTCTTGACATTCCACACCTGTGCTGGTCTCGCTTCCGTGCTTGTTCTGGGAGTTTCAGACCTTACTGCATGTCCTGCACTGTCCCCAGGGGTGCCCCGTGCGGGTCCAGCACTGCTGACGGCCTCCTTGGTCTGGCTGACTGAGGGCTTGGGAAGCAGTCACCCTGAACAGCCTCTGCCACCAAGGAGCCTGCCCGGCTGTCTGAGGCCAACAGTTCCGGCCCGTCAATGCTCCAGCTCCGGCCCTGTAATCTGGGATCTTGCCTGGCTCATCCCCACAATGAGACGACCTGACCAGGCAGTGCCTACTGCTCCGCTTGCCGGATGCACCCTGACCAATGCCACTCTTCAACCTATTCTCCCCTGCCTGCTTCCCCTCTGCTCTCCCAACAGACCTGATTCCTTCAATCATTTAAAAACCAAATGGAAAATACCTTCTCAGTCTTTCTTTGGTTTCTTTTAAAAAGTCATTTATTTTTATTAAAAAGGCAGATGAGATTTGCAGAAAGATCTGCTGGTTCACTCTCCAAATGGCCTCAGTGGCCAGAGCTGAGCCAATCTGAAGCCAGGAGACTGGAGCTTCCTCCAGGTCTCTCATGTGGGCACAGGGTCCCGAGGCTTTGGCCCGTCCTCTACTGGTTTCCCCCACACGCAAGGCCTCACACAGCCCCGCCCAGGGAAGGACAGCACGCAGCAGGCCACACTGAGAGAAAACAGGGAAACTCAGACTTTCCTCTTTGCACAGCTCCAGGATCTGAGACATAGCAGAGCCTCCCAGCACCTATGTCCTGCCACTACAGTCCCTTCCTGTCCAGCACAAGATGGCTGTCAGTTCTTGGCCAGGAAAAAAAATCTGTAGCAGTCTCTTCCTTCATGGTAGTGATGACAGCTGAGGGGCCAGGGAACGGCTCAGGAGACCCTTTTCCAGACAGGGCACTCACCTCCACACAGCTGAGGGGCCAGGGAGTCCAGGGGCACAGTGTCATGGCAGGGCACTTAGACCAGTGGCTTCTCTGTGCCCTTGGGTAGGAGCTCTCGCTTGGTTATTATGACCAAGAAGGAACGGAGCTGTCCTCCAAGAAGCTTCTCCTTGCTCTCTGCGAGTTACGCTGAGCACTACTGCACGAGGGTATTCCAGGGGAAGACTGTCTCTGATTCACCACTGTCCCCACCCTTGGGAGGCAGGAGTGGGCCCACAAAGTGAGACTCAAAAAACCCACAGCAGGAGCCCACGAGCGCCCCACCCTGCTCCCTGCACTGAAGACAGGATGTGGCAACAAGTGCCGGGCATGCTCTTTCCTACATAACCACGGGTGGGGACTCTGAGACAGGCCACACCCTCGTGCTCAAGTCCAAAGCTAGGGCTCCCAATGCAAGGCACCTGCTGCTGTGCTGGGTCTCCCTCGGTGCTGTCCACCTTACCTGCCCCGTTGGAAGCATCAGTTCTGTGCCTGAGGCTACTGGACGTTGGGCTCAGCATATGGAGAAGATACTGGAAGCCAGTCACACAAACACAATACAAGGACGTTACTTGACAGGGGAGGGGCTGAGAGCGGCCCCACTGCCCAGGCCTTTCCCACTTGACATTGTACAACCAAGTGTCCCACTGAGGTTCACACCCGAGGGGCAGGCCGATCACCAGATCTGCTGCAAGAACATGCAGGCGGGCATCATCACACACTGTCCTCCTGAGGGGGAGGCCGAGCCACCGACCTGAAAAACGGCCAGTAGCCCGG